TCTGTCCACTCCCTTTTGTTTCTAGACATGTTAGGAAGTCTCTCCTTAGCCTTTTGTGGGGCAGAGGAAGAGAAAAAGAGGGGAAGTCCTCCATGGCGCCTTCTGTTTGTATGTGATAGGGCTCTCTGAAGTTGCTAAGAATTGTAGCATTTCTGCAAATACCTATAGAAGTCTTGAAGAGCCTGTCTGACTGACATTTTGAAACAGTTTTGTGCTAGCTTGTACACCAATGCCAGCGAACAACACCGTATTGCTTTCAACCCAGATGCTTTGGCAAATAGCAGCTTCATGTGTTGCCACTGCTTGGCATAATGACTGATGCTACAAAGCCGTAGCAGGTGGTTTGGATTTTTTCTGCTAATTCTGCACCAAGTCCCTATTTTTTGCAGTGGCTTTGGAGCATGATAAACAATATTGCTCTTTTTTCTGGTAAGGATTTTAAACTCTTAGATGCACTTGGTAAAAGTTGGGCTTAATGGCAGTCTACTGGATGAGGATATTAAGTTTCCCAGCTCTCATTTTCTTTTACAAACATCTTACACGTGACAGATACTATGCTTGTTTTATACTTTCCCCCCGAAATTCATCACTGTACTAACAGAAGGTCCAATTACTTTGAAGATTGTTTTATAACCGCTCTAGTTTATCCCTGCTGTCGGTAACATTCCTTCTGTACCCCTTTTCAAGCATCTTTTCCCACAATAGCTTAACATCGCCCTCAGTCTAATATGTCTGCTTTTTCAGTCACTGGGAGGAGGGCACTTCAAACTTCTTCCCTCTTATCTTAGCATCTACTTGCTAGAGAAGAGTTGTGCTGTTAAAATGCGCATCTTCAAGTGTATGTTTGCCAGAGTCCTCGGTGTGGTAGCTGCCTGCCATATATGAAGCAGGGTGTTTCATAAGCGTTGGCTATATATGCCCATTCATTCCATAGAGCTGAAGAGATAATGTGCCTTATTACAATAATGCTTGTATTAGAAAGTTTCTTGTTCTGTATATTTTTTCCTTAAAAAAAAAAAGTAATGAGAGATTTTGTTGTTTCTAAATCACGTAAAATTATGTTTCATTCTCTTACTTCACTGAGAACACACTTTTAAAATTTACCATAATGCTGAAGCTTTGAAATGCATTGGTACCTAACCTTCTAAGATAAAGAGATCTTGTGTTAATTGTTTCACTTTTCTTGACCTGCAATGCCTAGACCCTTGGTAACATGACACGTTAGGAGATTGTGGTTCTTTTGCGTTACAGTACAGTCGTGTCTGGTGCCTATAAATGTAATGTTCAGTATGTGGTTATGAACTGGAAGTATACTCTGACCAGGCCATTGGCACAGTTGTGTTTGAAACTCCGTAAGAATTAAAAGCCTGCAGGGGTTAGAACTTTGTTAGCATTTATGCTATGAACTGAACTTGTGATGATCTTTTCACAGAACACAGTTGTTAGCTGAACCTTGAAGAATTGCTTGTCTGTTTAGTGTTAACTTGTCTGTTAGTTAATCCCCTTTCCTTAAAAACATTCAATAAAACTCTTTCCTTAGATGGAATGTTCTTCTCCCTCTGCAGCTCTGTGGAGGCAAGAAAACCCAACCCAAACCCAAACCCATGTCTAACCATCTGGTCGACTACCAGCTACCTTGGCATAGTTTATATATCCTTCAGGGAATGGTGGAATGATTTCTTCCCTCCCCGCCCCATTTCTGCACCTCCTTTGAAGTAACCTGTCTTTTGTACCTTGCTATCTCTGCATTGCTCCCCATATCGATGCTGCAGGTGCATGTTACAGGCAGCTCTCTCAGTAGCTTGGTCTGAGAATTGGCATGTAAAACCGGAGACTGATGGAAAGAGAGTCTTAAATGTTATCTTTGAAGCATGGAGATTGGAACGCGTTGTCTTTGGTTTATGCATCTTCCATAATGTCCCTAAAGGAAAGAGGTGGCCCTTTTTGGGAAGGGGGAGCCCAGTCACGGCAAACTCCAGTCTCTGCTTACAGAATTCTTTGTAACCTGGGAATAAGATTTATAGGTGTATGTAGCTGAAGATGTAGACAAAACTTAAAGGTTTTAAATTGCACAACTCTGGTACTTGAATAGTGTTGCTCTCATCATTATTATTGGTGTGAAAATACCACAATTTTAATAGTTAGCTGTAATTTTTCAATACATACTGCTTAGTTTATACTAGAAACAGTAAAGCCTTTGAAGGAAATGTATGAGTTAAACTTCAAAAATCATTTTCTTAGATTATAGTATTATCCTAAAGGAATAGCGATACAGTTTGTTTTGTGGGTTTTTTTTTGTTGTTGGTTTGGTTTTTTTTTTTTTTTTAAATTTTTCTGGTTTTAAATTTGTGCTACTTGAGGGAAATAAATGCAGCTTACAGTGAGCCCCGCTTTGGGATCGTATTGTTGTTTGGATTAATAAAACCTGGCATCGCTGTCTTTTGGTGGTTGCTAGTTGCAAGTACGTATTCAACCATACTTAAGTGTTTCCTCATTGAAAACTAGTACTTTGACATAAGACAAATCAAAAGAAGTAATTACTTAAACTTAAAAGTGTGTATACTAAATACAGAAATTATTACAAAGGCAGGAAATTGGTCTTTCCAATAAGTGCTTTGGGATTGTGACGTTTCACTGTACTTGTGAAAGCTTGGGTTTTATTTCTGATTTTTGTTGGAGTTCTCTGTGATTAGCAGTAGCTAGATAGGGAAATGTTACAACTTTTTACTGGGGAGCGATTTGTTGTTTAATGACTTAAGTCTGAATTTAGTTTGTCAGAAAGCAAGGACAGGCTTGAGATGGCTGTTGTAAAATGCTGGTTTCAGAATATCAGTTATCAAATTGTTGAGAACACAGCAGAAAAATGATTTAGTTACAATTTACAGCTTGTGAGTATTTTATAGAAGAAAATAGTTCTGGTGCTTCCAGTCTACTTTGGAGTTAGAAAAAACCCTTTTTGAATGTTACTATTTTTATGAACTGTAATATGGATTCATATGGACAGCATGCCTAGGAGTTTCGAAGTTTCTAAGTTTTTTAGAAACTATATCAGAATTTAATAGAGTATAAAAACAGTGTACTGTCTCCAAATGCAACATAACTGCTCTGCTAGTTGCCAAAACTGAGTACGTACTATAAACTTCTGTTCGAGTGAAATTAACTATTTTAAGATCATATATGAAATCAGCCATTGAAGGCATTCCCTGGAATCATTACACCAGCAGATTCCCCATAACTGAGGTGTAATTTATAATGGTAGATATCTTTTTGTTGTTCAATTTGTCACTTAAAAAGCCTTCTATCTGTGTATCTCAGTCTAGAAAAGGCTTCTGTTTGACATGAATTAACTGTATGATATGTTAATTTTTTTGCCAGCACAGCAATCCCAAATAGTGTTGTATAGCCAGTTTGAAATTAGTAAAGCAAAAAGACTTGCAATGTCAATAGGGCTATGCATTATCCAAATCTTGCAAGTGGAAGGAGGGGACATAGCATAAATTCTGAAAATACATGCTTGCCTATGTACCAAGTAATTTCATTTTTACAGTTGGTTTTATTTTGAAATTCTCAGCACTGTATCGGATGAAATCTGCCTTTATGGTAAACACCAGAATGCAAGTTGGATTGACGTAACGTAGTGATATAGTTTGAAAATACATGTGATTATTTAACTGTGGTGTAGAGTTAGAAAGATTTTGCATCAATTCATAATACTGTATTTATTCAAACTACAAAAGTACTTTCAGATCCTCCCCCTCTCTCCTGAAAGCTGTTTTCTTTGGTCAGGTATTGAATAATTTATATCATGTGAGACTATCGCACATGATGTATTCATCCCTTGTTTAGCTCTTACATTAATGGTTTGGCATGCTAGCTGTACATTGATATGGTAGATGCTTTCCATTTTTTCTGTACCAACTGTTTAAATATATCTTGTGCCTCAGTAACTACAAATGGGAAATGACTTGAATTATTCTATTTCCCTTGATGGTTTTTATGCGAAGGAAAAGATTCCTTTTTTAATATATATGTATTTGTACAATAGATTAAAGGAGAGCTTTAAAAATGATTCAGATATTTATGCTAACTGTATATTACGTTCAGCTGGAAATGCGTGTGGAACCTAAAAAGTGAAGTTTAGACATTAGGCTAGCTGTTAGCCACAGGTATTGATTAGGTACAAAATATTTGGTCTTTTTCACCTCTTCTACGGATTGTATGGTTTCATGCGTTGCCATGTAGCAGGTAATTTGTAATTAAGTTCTGCACTGTAAACTGAAAATTGTAAGTAATGTTATTTATATTCTCTTCGGAGGTGGGGAAAAGAGAAGGCACTGCACCAATACAAGAAACTCTTACTTAACTGCTGATAAAAGTATTACTTTGGGAGGACAGTAGAGCAGACTGGGAGAAGGATTAGCGCTGCAAAGTACCGGCCCAGGCTGGATTGCCTGGAAAATCTTGTAAGCCTATGGTCAGATAACGCTCTGCTGCTGCTTACTGCTGTTGGTGCTGCGCTGTTACAGGGTTTGCTAGATGAGCATAAATCAAAAAGCAGTCGTTTAGTTTAAAAAGCTAACATGAGATAAAGAATAGATGGAATTGATTTTTGTATGTGTCAGAGAGGTTGGTGCACACAGTAAGATAATTGTATGTATTTTAGGACATGCAAGGAAATATTTCAGTAGTTTTACTGTGGATAAAATTTCCAAAATGAAGTTGATAAATTTTCTAAATCAGGGAGCCGGTAAAACTTTAATTTCTGTTAGCATCAGGCTGCGGAACTGACATTTTGGGCACTTTTAAAAAGCAGATTCTGTGACCCAGATCTGAAAAGTTTTGAGTGTCGTAGAGATTGGTAAAGAAATACCGAGCCTCCCTCTTCTTTCTCTTTAGCATTGACCCAGGTTAGTGGCTGACAGAGAGTCATAAGCCCTCCTTTAGCTGATCGGTGGGCAGAATAGTGTCGGGATCCTTCGAGGGTTTGAGATACAGAGGCTGCCGCCACCACCGTTGCTTTATATCCTGTACCCGGTGTGTACCTGGACAGGAGATGTCGGTTGCCAGTGTCAGGCACCTTCCACAAGCACTTGAGAACGAGAAACACACAAACACCCATCTCCCAGGTGAGTGAATTACAGTAGTGCTTTCACATCACTGTCGGGCTGTGAAAAGTGGAGTAAAAGATGCACAGGATCACTTGCGTCCGCCGCGGTGTAGAGGGAAGCTGTGCAGCTGCGTTCTGCTTTTGAAGAGAGGGGCAGTTGCTTCCAGAGTAAGTCTGTCAGTCTTTGCATTTAGAGACTTCATTTGAAGGGGGCTGAACGATGCCGGTTTTCAAAATACACGGCTGTGTGTGTGGGAAGGGAACCTCCTGAGGAGTGTCGGAAGTGGCGATGGTCACTGGCTGCCGTACTCCCCTATGTATGCACGCTGTCACAGGCAGAGACGCTTGCTGGCAAACTTTCTTTCAGATAAGCTTAATTTTTGAAATCGGTGGGAAAAACCTGCTCATTTCTCGTAGGATACTTCAGTTTCTTCTGTTCGGTCTTTATTGGTGGTTCAGTTTGGTCAAATGAACTGAAACTCATTTACTTAAAATCTGTCAGTGGGGTAAATAACGAAGGAGGTTCTTTCTTTAGTCTTCTTCCTCTTCCTTAAAAACAGAAATACAGTACCTGTGAAAAAGGGGATGATATAATGTAAGTAGCACGTACTGATAACAGTGTGGCAGCCCATATAATTTTATGAGGTGATGTAACTAAGCCAGGGAAAGGGAACTTTCCTGCTCTTAGCTGTTGCGTAAGACCCTCTGAAGAATTTTAGCAGGGAGATGTCAGACTTGGGAGTGCTTGAACACGGTCGTCTTGGGCTATTTTGACATCTCCGCCCTTCAGAACGCATTCTTCAGGCCGTCCCGGAGCAGAGCTGCGTTGCGGGAAGGAAGTTTAAATCCTAATGCAGCGCTGAGCTGTAATCCCCGTGTATCGTTACCGCGTTGCCCTGCCCTTGCTGTGGGGGTGAAATGTAGAACGTGAGGCTAATCCGCGGTAGATGGGAGCTAATTTTGCTTTAAACTTGAAAGCGTTAACAACAACTTGAAAATGTGACAAGGCTCGATTGCATTTCTTGTTTATTGCTTGTTTTCCGATTGGACAATAGGCAGCAGCTCTGCCCTGGCAACTGAGGGCTGCGATTTGCATAGCCCCCTTTGATTGGCCACTTGGCCGACGAGCTCGCCCAATCAGGCGGCGGGGTTTTAGTGGTAGGCTATGCTAATTACCCGCTGTTGCTGGGGTTCGGGGTGGTTTCCGCGCGCCGTTCTGCGGCATTGTGTTGCCTGGTGAGCGGCGTTGATAAATGAGCAGTTAATGATCTGCAGCAGCGCCCGCGTACTGCGGGCAGGCACGGATTTTAGAACAGAAGCGAAAGGAGGGTTTAATTGCTGTTCAGTCTCGCCCTCTCTCTCTATTGGCCGTGTGAACGTCTGTGTGTGTGTGCGCGCGCGGGCGCGCGTGCCTGTGTGCGTGTATGTATATTAAAAAACGTCTGTGTGTGTATATACATCACGTTAATTAAAAAAAATCTTCACTGGAATAGCTTGGAACCAGGAAAGAGTGCTGTGTAGGTGGAAGAGGACTGTTCTCGCTCTTTCCCCGCTTAAATTTTTTTTAATTTTTTTTTAAATTAAAGTGCCTTGTATTGAAGTAACCAGATTTCTGCAGAAAGTACGGCTCTGGAACGTTAATAAAGTCAGCTTTAATATCAGTACTTCCTAAAATGCAATAACCACTGTATCTGTGATAAGCATCTGTAGCTGGTGTGAATATAGAATAATCTATTTCTAGAACACACACTTGCCTTTTAAAAATGGTGTATTCACATGCCTTCCCCCTCCCCGCCCCCCGCCAAAAAAAAAAAAAACAACCAAACCACCCAAAAAAACCACCGCACACCAAAGACCAAACCCCACCTCAGCAGTAACAGTTGAGTCTGGATTTTCTTCTGTCCTCTGTATCATTCCTGCCTAAGAATTTCGGGAAATCTGATCTTAAAACATTTTTGTTGCTTAAATCTGTGTCTTTTTTTTGCTGCTTTCCAAACCTGCTTTTTCTCCTGTTCAATCATGGACTAGTTTACCTCCTTCAATCCTCTTCCCCAGTCCCTCCGTCTTCCTTAGCTGTCCAAATTGTGGGCTTTCTTTGCATAACTACTCACGTTCTTTCTGTCCAACTCAGTAAAGCTGACTGTAAGGTTAATGAATTATTTAACTGAGTAAATCCATCTACATAGGTTCCGTGTCCTTTTTTTTTTTTTCCCCCCGCGTTCTTTTTTTTTTTTCCTTTTCTTTCCTTCCCTTCCCTTCTGAGGTTTGATACCACCTAGCATTTACTAGTAACGGTGGAAATTACTTTCACTGGCATATTTTTGACCAGGTATAACCCTGGTGTCAGCAGGTTTGGAATCCTTTGAGTTCAGTTGGAATTGGAATTTTGGTAAAAGTGGTTCCATTTGATAACTATTTTTTGTGAAATACTTTTTTAAAAACATCTGTGCACAAAATATTTTTTTAACTTCTACAAATTTGGATTAACTGGTACTTTAATACCAAGAGAACAGGCAGCATTTTCATGATTTAATGCTTATACTTAGGACTAAATAAGTTTTGTTTTTTAAACTAAACATTGGAGTGCATTAGTTCAGATGAGTGATTTACAAGTTGCGCTCATCATGAAGACCAAAGCTTACTGTTAAAAAGCAGCCTATGATTAAATCTTATTTTTACTTTGGTGGAATTTTAATTTTTCGACTGTTTTGTAAACCCTTCAGAAAACTGACAGCAGAGGTAAATCTAACTGCTCTTGAATAAAGCAAACATTTCCTTTTGACAGGGAAACTTGGTGATTCCTAGTGCATTTTAGAAGCTAAGAACTAAGAAAATATAATTTGTGTGTACCTGAAGTGGAGTTTGCTTGAAGCCTTCTGAAATGTGAATGTAGAGATTCTTTTATAGCATGTTTAATGGAACAACTTTCATAAAATCATGTCAATTTAAACTTTGTCACTTCATTTCTGTTGTCTGTATTATGAGATTACCATGACTTATATTTTTCACCTTTACGCTTCTCTACTTACTGAATTTGACAGAATTTTCTGTATAAACAGTGTTTTCTATTTGTATTTGTGTTTTTTCACAGGTTGCACTGGGAACTGAAGGACAGGTGTGGGCCTTTCACCTAGATTAAATATGCTTACATAGCTGGAATTAAGTAGTTGTTTTTAAACCTTTGTTTGGAATAATATTCACACTTCAGTGTTTGTTTCTATTTTAAGAGCTGTTATGAACTTTCACTGTGATCATAAAAAAAGTAGATATCCATTTTCCCCTGTCTTTATATTCCCTCTTTTTAAATGGCAGGCTTTTCATTAAATTAGAAAACTTATAAAACTGCATAACCTTAGAACATTTGCATAAAATCGTAAAATAAACATAAATTTGTAGGGGGAGAGAAAAAAAGTATCTGAACCCTAGCCTTGGCACATTTTCACCAGCACTGGTGTTCTCTGAAAAATGAGTGTGTTATTCTTTTGAATATTTTAATAAAATTTTAATTTTTTTCAGTTTTAAAGCAAACCTTAGTCCTCTTCTTTAAATATTGTTTATTAAATATTCAATAATTAAGTATTGATTGCTCAGCTATGTGGTTTCACTTACTCATTTGGCATAATATAAAAACCACATTGTGCTGAATCATCAGCCAAACTACTTGAATTTGACCAGTGTTTCTCAAGCATCAGGTTTACAACGAAGAGTTGGACAGAGTTACAATGTGGTAGGAAAACTTCTGAAGAATATTAAATGTGTATCAGAAAAAGATAAAACCTTCAGTAATAAATATGTTGGTGTGTATGTGGTTGCCCAGTTGAGAATGTTTCTTCTTCTCTAAATACTAGAATATCCTCTCTTGGAGGATCACATGAAGGCAGTGTGTCAAAAGGGAGTTTAAAAAAAAATAAATAAACCAATCACCCAACAGTGGAATAAACAAAGTTGCTGATGTGAAACCTCTCATTCATTTCTTAGTGTCAGTATCACTGCCTCTTTGCAGGAGGGCAGCCTTAATTTTTGTTACTATTCAGCCGCTGAAAAAAGGCAAGTTCACAACAAACAAAAGGGGGTGGTGCTTAATGCTGCCTGTGAGTAAGCTGTGAGTCTTTTGCCATGCGATCTTCTGGATGCTAAAAGCTGAAATGCAAAAAGTGGTTCAGAAAGTCCATGGAAGAAAAGCTTGCATGATATATATCTATATACACGCATTAATCACAAAGACTGTGCTTCATGTAATTCCCGGACTGGAGACTAGATGAGTATGCCAGGCACCTACTGCTGTATGCTTGCCCTGTTCTCTGCTGAGATGACTGCTGCTGGCCACTTTCAGAGACAGGACGCTGATTTGAATGGATCTTTGGTTTGATACATGAGTAATTCCTATGTTAGTGCCCAGTTGCTTGAAAGAACTATGTTACTTTTCAGTCCTTAGTCCAACGTGAATCAAGTACCCCTTCTTGTTTGGTTTTGTTTGCAAGCAGAAATGAACATCCATTTCAGACCTCTCTCATTTGGTTTACTTTTTCCAAATTCTTGAAACCTAACCTGTAAAGCTGCTCCTCTGTGGAGCTCTGTAAAACAGAGATTTATCTACTAGTATGTGTTCCTTGTCTTTGTAAAGTCTTTCAAATTCTATATATACAAAATTAGAAATTTAAAATCATGGAACCCTTTTGTGTTTAACCCGTGTCTCCCTGTTTTTCTGCAGAACGGGATAAAATCCAGTCTCGTAAGCATATTGCAGAAGGAAATTGTTGTTACTGAATTACATGGATACAAAAACAATGACTACTCTATAGAATATATATGCAGACAGTAATAATTTTATTTGGAGCACAGTCTGAGGAGTGTCAAGGGATATTATGTTAAATACAATGAAAATAAAAAGATCTATTGTATGGCAACCTATTCAGTGAGAGCTACTTCCATTCTGTCCCTTAAAATAAATAGGGTATTCATGTAACTAAATAGTATCACAATTTAGTTACATAGAGGCACTAAATTAAACTGTGGAAG